GAAAGCACGGCAACCAATATTGCTGCTCCTTTTAAGCTAGCCTAATGTCTTGCTAACTCATCAGAGTAAAAGTCATGGTTTGCTTCAGTACAGGGTAATGGGCTGAAGTTCATGCAACATCTGAAGCCAAAACCAGAGTACATTACAGCTTTAACCTGATGCAAAAGCCATTAGTAGTTCTCATTTACCAACTTTTCATTCAATGATTGTTCAGAGTTAGAATGCCGCTGAAAAGGGAGACTTACGACCAGTGGTAGGATTCAGCCGCTTTGCACCACTTTGTTGCCCAGGCCCAGAATGGACTTCCGGAAGCAGCATCCACACAGAGAACTGGCTGTTCACATATTTGAATCCCATCACTGCTTGCGACCATTCTTTGACGTTGTAGCCATTGCAGTGTCCCCACAGTCATGTGATTGTGACTTAGGCACTTGGCAACCAACGCATGTTTACAGTAGTTGCAGTGTGCTTGGTCACATGATCACATCAAGCTTCCAACAAGCAAGGGAGAAGCTGGCAGGAAGTCGCACACTGCAGTCATGTGACATTGCACTTAAGAATGTTGGGTGATTTGCCAACAACCAGAACTGCTTTCATAAGTCAGTTTGGTTGTGTAATATTTTGCTTTATGATTGTATCGCTTAGCAATGGACTTGCCAGTCCAAATTAAGCAAGGACTACCTGTATGCACAATGTCAGTCAGTGCACACACTAAATATAGGTTGGGTTATTATTCCCAAGATGCTACAAAGGGCATCCTTTTATCCTTTGAATGAGAGATGCTTGCAAATGATCTTCAGGATGGATGAGCTGTAGTGGATATGGAGATGCAAGGGGCAAACGTTTAAGTTGCAAAAGGCTTTTCGATGGGCTGCATGATATGACAGTTATGTTAATAAATACTCAGCCCAATGATTGATTGCTGGGCCATTTTTTTGACTATTCTCTATGGACTCAGAACCCCACCACAGCATCGAAATTGGCTATAAGGCATGGTAGAATGGTTTCCTAGCTTTCTACAGCACCTTACCAACTGCTCATTCAATGACAGAAGTTACCAGGATGATAAAAAGGTCAAGTTACAACTTATTTCTCAAAGTTGCATCCATTGCAGCGTCCCTGAATTCCCCTGGCAACTTTGCCACAGCCGCAGTGTCTTGTTTGCTGTTTGTAAACTTCACTGCCAGCTTCTGATGGGCTGGGAAAGTAGACCTAAGTCGCAAGTTGTGGTTACATGATGTCACACCTATCAAACCAGAGTGGTTTGCTAAATAACTGCAAGTTGTAGGTCGAGCACAATCACAAGATGTCTCGCTCTATGATGTGTTAGTGATGGTGTTTCTGGTCCCAATTGTGGGTGTTTCTGGTCCCAATTGTGGATGTTAAGTGAGGATTACTGTTTATTCTGCCAATGATGCCAATAGAAATCTTCAGTCTTTGGGAATTGCAGAACAGATAGAAGGCCGAAAACCAGCCCAAGCAACTGCTGCTGCTTCCTAAATGAATATGATATAGATCAAACTAAAGTATTTTCACTAACATTGATGAGTTTGAATAGTTGATAAACTATCAGGCAGATAAAATAGGAAATCTTGCATGCTGGTTCTCTGACTGGGTTGTATTAAGCTTCACCCAGCTGCTGATTCTACAGGGAGAATATTACGTTAACCAGCCCCAGCTGTTAATAACTGCAACTTACAAGAGCGGTTCTTCCAGCTTTTTAAAGGACCTGGGGGAGAAAAAGAACCCTTTTAAGAACCTTTTTAGAAATTTCAAGATAAGGCTCAAAATGATGGAGGTGGGTCAGTTTTAAAAAGTAGAGCAAGATGGGAAAAAAGACTCTGAAATAGGATGTGTTCAATCTATGATTGAGAACCAGTTTGGTCCAGCGGTTAAGGCATCAGCTTAGAAAGCAGGAGACCATGAGTTCAACTCCCATCTATCTGTGAAAGCCACTTTGGGCTGGTCACATTCTCTTAGCCCAGGGGTAGGCAACCTTGGCTCTTTTATGACTCGTGGACTTCAACTCCCAGAATTCCTGAGCCAGCATGGCTCAGCTTGGAAACCTCTCCCTTTCCCCTCAGCATAGCTGGCTCAGGAATTCTGGGAGTTGAAGTCCACGAGTCATAAAAGACCCAAGGTTGCCTATCCCTGTCTTAGCCCAACCCACCTCACAGGTTGTTGTTGTTGTTGAGGGGAAAATAGGAGGAAGGTGTGTTGGCAGGATATAATCAATAAATGGGGAAATGAAGCTGCCCTGATGGCACAGTCAAGCTAAGCATGCAGCAACATGCATTTTAATCAGGTTATTTATTAATTGGGCGTCCCGATATGCATGGGCAAACACCAGCGGCAATCGTTTGAACAGAGACTTCCAATAACCCAGTGCAGAGATTGACAGAAGGAAGAAACTGGGGTACAGTGGGAAAAAAGCAAAACTACACGGACCTCACTGTTCTGGACATGAAACCAAAAGGTGGACAGCAGAATCCGGAAGGTTCTGCCCACAGGCTACTCTTGACTACCCCCATGCTCAGAATGTTTAGTCAGATTAACTTGATGGGCAGGTTCAGTCTGGAAAAGCTGTTGTGTGCATCCAAGAAATTTGAGAGAATATTGCGAAGGCTTCCTTTCTTGAGATGCGAAGGAAACAGAAGGGGATTGGCTTGTTTGCTGAAGGTCTTAAGTTTCAGAACAAGAGTCCAGTGTTTTGGCACTCTCAGCTGTTGTGCAACAACTCTCGGTTCCAGTGGGGAGGGAGGGAGGGAGAGGAAGTGGGGATTTCATCAGCTCTTGCTGTTCAGCTAACATTTGTTGGAGATTTTTTTTCTCCCTCATTTCCAGGCTTTTGAATCATTCTGTATTTTTCTCCTTCCGTCTCCCTTCCTCTATGTCAGGGGTTCTCAACCTTGGCAACTTTAAGACTTGTGGACTTCAACTCCCAGAATTCCTCAGGGCTGAGGAATTCTGGGAGTTGAAGTCCACAAGTCTTAAAGTTGCCAAGGTTGAGAATCCCTGCTCTACGTGTCTTTCAGATTCACAGGCTTTTCCTTCTGTCCCCAGACTCCTCAGATTCCAGAACCAATTCCTAGAACAGGGGTAGGCAACCATGGCTCTTTTATGACTCATGGACTTCAACTCCCAGAATTCCTGAGCCAGCATAGGAGTTGAAGTCCACAAGTCACAAAAGAGCCAAGGTTGCCTACTCCTGCCCTAGAATAATTTCTTTCCATTTTTCTTTATTTCATATGGACAGTGTTTAGAACAGAATACAGAACAACCGAGTTGGACGGGATATTTGAAGGCTCCTAGAACGTGCAGCTGGTGTAGAGCAGTCTGCATGATGGCAGGGGAAATCGGTCTTTTACACCTGTGTTTGCGGGTCCTGTGCGTATTGCCTGTTGGGTCCAGGTATAATCAAAGGATTGGTTTTGACATTTTAAGCCAGTGATGGCAAACCTTTTAGAAACCGAGTGCCCAAAAGCTGACTCCACCCCCTTCCCCTCCCCCCTCCCCTCCCCACTTGTCCTGCCCTGCCTGCCCGCAGGGCCACTCACTGCCTCCAGGGCCCGCCGCAGATCACCCAGGCAGCCCAGCAGCGCTATGGCGGTCACGCCCTCTGCCCACACCCTGCAGCATCAACTGTGCACGATGGGGTGTGAGGGCAGAGTCTTGTCTATGCTGCCTGGCTGCCATGTCCTTGGCTGTGCTGCTCCACGTGGGCCACGCTCAGGGGCAACTCCCCTTCAGGGGGGCTGCTGGAGAGGAGGGGATCACAGGGGGAGGCAAGGCTGGGACAAAGGCATGTGTGCCCACAGAGAGGGCTCCGAGTGCCGCCTCTGGCACCCGTGCCATAGGTTCGCCACCACTGTTTTAAGCCCTTAATGAGTTGTCTCCTACATCCCAGCACAAGCACCTTCTCAAGTTAAAACTGACTTCTTGAGTATGATCACTGCAGATGAAATGCTGTGGATTCCTATTTAATGAGAAATGAAGGGGGGGTGGCAAGTACCAAAAAGCACCTTTCCTGGAATTTAGGTCAGCAGTTACTTTGTCTCTCTCTCTCTCTCTCTCTCTTTTGAAAGGCAGGTAAAACAATGTTATTCTAAAGGCTGTTGGAGTTAAAGTTACTCTATTCTGATCGATAGTCTTTGATGATTAAAATAATAGTGGAAATTAACTTGATCTTTTACCGTGTTTTTATTTTTTTTAAGCGCCATTGTTTTTGTGTATTTATGATGGTAAAGTGCTAGGAATGGTTAGATTCTGACAGTATATAGATATGATTAATTAGTTAGACAGTTGGATTATTTTTCCCTTTGGGCTATTAACTTTTCATAGATTACAAAACTGAATTAATGCATATGCTTCAATTATGTCAGGCATATTTAACCTGCCATTTTCTAACACTCCCTACCAGAAAAAGAGACTCCTTTTTTCAAGCCTTTGAGTAGTCCTTGATTTACAACTATTCATTTAATGACCGTTCAAAGTTACAACGGATCAGAAGAAAGTGACGTGCGACGTTCTCACGGTCACATGCTCAAAATTCAGACACTTGGCCACTGACTCATATTTATGACATCACGGGGTCACGTGATCACCTTTTGACAAGCCAAGACAAGAGGGAAACCAGATTCCCCTAATAGTCATGTTACTAAACCCCTGCAGTGATTCACTTAACAACTGTGGCAAAAAAAGGTTGCAAAATAGGGTAAAAACTCACTTAACTGTCTCCATTTAGGAACAACAATTTTGGGCTCGATTGTGTTCGTCAGTTGAGGAATACTTGCACTTCCATCTTGAATGGTGTTTTTTTTTTTTTTTTAAACTTACGTTGACTGGGTTGTGATTGGAAGGTGACATAGAAAGTCTCCCTGCAGGTTTGAAAGCACTGAAGAACATTATGTTAAACACTTTTCAGGAAAGATGCAAAGGTGTTGGGGTAAGGAAGTATTGTATTGCTTCTTTAAAATGCTCTTGACTCTTTCCCCCCCCAGACTGAATTCCGAACTGAGTTGGCAGATGCTGGGGACAAGCTGATCGTCGTTGACTTCTCTGCCACCTGGTGTGGGCCATGCAAAATGATCAAGCCCTTCTTCCATGTAAGTAATTTGGATTCCTTCAGTATTCGGTTTAATGTAAAGTACAAGAGAGTAGGATGTTATATATGGGGATTCCTTAGAAACCAAGGTCGCATAAAGAGATGCGTAAGGATTCTTGAACCTTAGAGGGGTTGAAATATTTATGTGCCTCTGCTCAGGCTTACCTTGTGAAATTCCTCTGTGCTTTCATGAAAAGAGGGTGCTTATCTTTTTCAAGCTGTCAGTGGCAACAGCACTATATATATATAGAAACAATGGCACCTATCAGTCAACAGGAAAAGTTTACTTTGTTTTATTTTGTTTCTCAGGGTCTCATGCCATTACAATCATAATTTTTCCTTAATTCAGATTAAAACCATCATCATCATCATCATCATTATATCCTGGGCTATTACTATCGTATTAATGTTCTATTAAAGGTTCTATTAATGTCCCTTGGAACGATGCGAAAGATGCTGTGAATGATCCAAACCAGCGGAAAACACTTCTTGCCCAATGTGCTCTGCCCAGATTAAAACAATAGTATAGCAATAAATGACAAATCAGCAAAATATAATTTCCAGAGTAATGCCACATCTTCATTAGGGCACACCCTAAGAACATAAAAATGTGTGCAAGTTTCAGATGTTTCAGTATTTGTCAAGTACTGAAGATGTTAGCAAAAATAAGTAATGGGGAAGGAAAATTAAACCACATGTTACATTGCTATAGTCTTGTGACAGAGTTACAATTAATGTATGGTACAAACCACAGATTGGAAGGCTGAATGCTTTTTCTTTGATATATATATGCAGGCTTATTATACAAAATATGCACTTATGTATTAACCCTAATATTTACAATATGTGCCTAATGATATAAGTGACAATATTCTATCTGTACATGAGAAGTTACAATACTTTGGTTACAATAGCTTATCTCTTAGCTAAAGATAAGGCTACATCAATCAACCTTCCTCCCAGCAAAGGCAACCAGATATAATTATTTTATTCTTTTAACCTTTTGTCACTTTTAAAAAAAATCTTTCCAAATCTTAGCAGAGTTCTTGTATATCCAGAAGAGAAAACAAATATCCAAATAAATGTCTTCATTTAATATCTGTTCATCTTCTTTAGGGAATAAGGCATCTATCAGATCCATTTGCATTACATTGATATCCCCCTTCAAATTAATTTCATAGATGTCCATTGCAGCTCTATTTGTTTTACAACTTCATTAGAACATGGTCTTTCAGTTTTACCAAACATTTTATCAATTCTGTCCCAAAGCATGACTGAGAGGTATTTAAAAGTTTACACTATCGATTTCTGTTCCATTTTCGTTATGCCCTTGCTGTAGCATCCAGCATTCAAGTTAACCTTATTATAAAAAAAAACCCTAAAGCAATCTCCATTTTCTCATGAGAAAATACCTCCTAAATAATTCAGAAGTGTAATTCTGAATCCTCTGGCCCCTTAATCCATTGTAAACTTTTCAAAATCTGTGTACTAGTCATCCTTTTTCTACGGTCAAAAAAACCCCCAAACCATGTATCTTAAAAAAAAAAAAGTCATCAAATTTGCACCACCATCTTTTAAGGAGGCAGAAATTGGTGTGGGAGACCTTGCCAGTTCAAAGGTCTTAATCACTTCAATATACAATTTTTAAAAATCAAAAAAGTGATTAAGATGTAAGGCATGGTTGAGCCTAATGTCCATAATGGCTGTTTTGTGAATATGAGCTTGATGTAATCTTGACTCCCAGCCACTCCACTCATAAGCTGACCCAAAAAAATGGCATTTCCTATGGTCGTGTTCATGAGGATAGTCTGCCCAGTGTCATATGGATGATCTCAGCTATCCAACATCTAGCCACGGTTCCCGTTGAAAAAGCTGTCTTGCTAGCTATCAGAATTCAACAAGCCATCAACTCGCTGAGGTAGGAAGTCAGTATTAAGGACTGGAAATTCTGCTCCTGTTACCAGGGCTTCATGTCTGTTTTCTTCACATTTAGCCCTATATTATTCTCCACTCTCCAGCCCTTATACCTCAGTAGCTTCTGCTGTAGTTAAATTAGCCTTGCGGTTATTCCCTTATACTGAGTTGTTTATGTTTTTTTTGCTTTGTTTTTTTTCTCAGGCCTTATCAGTGTGTAGGAGGATTGCTCTTACAATTAACTTGTGGTTGGCTGGCTGGCTGACAACAGCTGTCTGCATTTTGGAGAGCTGTGAGGCTTTGCGACTCCTTACACAGCTGTGGTAGCTTAAGTGTCTCCTTGATCAGATCCATTTAGTTTCACCTCATCCAGACACAATTGGCTGCTGCTTTAGTTCTCCAATTTAATTTATTTTCTCTCTTCCACAACCTCCACACCCTGTGACTTTAGTGTTTCTTTTTTATATATATCCCTGCAGTTCAAACGTGGTCCTTTACTTCTTGAAATCCATGAGTTCTTAAAATCATGAGAAAGAAAAACTCACAGCAATTTTTGAGTTTCTACTTCCACAGTCTGCAGATTAATGTCCGTCTCGGAATAGAGATTATAGATTTGGTGATTTAGTCAAGGTTAGATATTATCTGAGACGAGTAAGATAAAGCACATAGACAGCAAGAGGAAGACTAACCAGCCCCACAAGTTTTAAAAACATTAGAGCTCCTAGGAATAGGTTTACATAACATGTTCGGAATAAGGTGGAGACTGTGAAATGCTGGGAAAAAATGTAAGCAGCATTGCAACATCTGAAACCCTATGGAGAAGAGCTTCTCTCTTACCCATAACTCACTGTGCTCCATTGTTCTGGCTAGCAATATGAAGTGAAGAGAAAGCAGGAGGGTCTCTGTAGGTATGTTCAGTAGCATCTTTTAGGTAAGGAGCAATATCCCCTCCCTCTTTTTGTGTGTGTGTGTGTTTGATGCAATGTAGTAAGCTAGTTGGCTACTAAGCTTTTTTGATTTTGCTGGCCCTACTGAAGGTAAAAATCTGCTTGAGCAGTTGATCTTAGCTGCTGCAACAATCTTGAATGGCTGCATTCCTTCTCTGGGACACACACATCTGCAGTCTGTTTCCTTTCAACAATGAACAAATCCATAACAATAGGGCAGTGTATATATAAGAGCGGTATAATAGAATTAATACTTGATGGTTTCTTTCATATCCTGGTTGTGGATAGAGATGAATATTTTCTCTTGAGGTGGAAATGTATACAATGGCCAACAGTAAGATATGTTGGATGACAGGTTCAGGAACATCTAGTAAAGCCCAGAGATATGTATTAATCAATTGTGGTTTAAAATGTAAGCTCCATGTGCCTAATAAGGAATAATATTATTAAGTGCTAATTGAGATCAGCAAGCATACTTTTTGTTCAACAGATTTTTTTTTCTTTAACAACAGAGCATGGTTGAAAAATATCCAGATGTAATCTTCATTGAAATTGATGTGGATGATGCTCAGGTAAGTTGTAGAGTAGTGCTCTCAACTTTGGACAAAGATAATGCAGTATATATATTCTCATAAAATCCTTGAATTCATATGACTTGTAGTTATGTAAGACTGGTTTGTTAGGGAAACTATACAAACCGCAGTATGTTCTGACTAATGAAAATGAAAACTGGACTTCCTTATTTAAATATTCCAGTAAAACTTTTGAAGAACTCAGCTTTTGGGGGGATGAGAAAGTTTTTTTATTATTATTTATAGCACAAAGTGAACTTGTCATTGTAATTTGGCTGCAGAGGAGTATTTATGTGGTCAACTGAAAATGTCTTCAACGCAGTTAAAAAAAATGTGCAGACTTCAGATAGTTTTCTGTGTGAATAATGTTGATGGAACATAAAAGAGTTTTAGTTCTCTTTTTCAGTTTGGGTGGTGAAGTACATAGAAACACTAAGGAGAACAATCTCTAATAACAGAAGATCTATAGTATGGATAGGGAGCCAGTGACCAGTCAGAATTTGTTACCTGAGATTATCATTGATTAGGCTAGTTAAAACTGCTAGGATCTGGAGTTTTTTTATATATATAAAAACAATTTTTATTAGTTTTCCATTTTATACCAACAGAAGCTTAAGAGCCAGCGTGGAGATATGGTGGTCAATTACAGAAGAAACAATAACATTATAAATATACAATTCATACAATGTTTCTTAAAATTTCCCTCTCTATGTAGAATATTATAATCAAATAGATTCAAATAAATTCATTCATTAATATATCTAAATATAAGTTTCGTTAATCAATAGAAACAATATCAATGTAATAATCAAATTAGTACAATCCTATAACCAATTCATTCATTAATATATCGCTGTATATAAATTAAATGCTTAAATCAAAACTAACGCTCTCTATCTGTTTAAATTATTGCAATCTCATTAATACATTTCTAACACAAATTTTCATTAAATATATCGCTGAATATGAATTTCATCAATCAATAAACGTTTAAAAAAGCTCCTTATCTATCCCAAAGATCCTGTTTTAAACTTTATTAATTTTTCAAATATTTAAATTTAAACTAACCTATTTATTTTACTATTCAGGGACCCCAAATTTCTCATATTTAAACATATTAGCTCCAAAACTAAGTTCTTACATTTCTCAGCTATATTTCTATTCTTTTTCAATAATTCTCCAATTATTAATTCCGTCTCATTCCCCCCCCCCCAAAACACACACACACACACACACACACACACACACACACACAAAACATACTAGGGACTGGAGTTTTGTTACATCTGGAGTTTAGTTGCACTTGCTTGTATTCTGTACTTTACAGAAAACGCAAATGAGCTCTAAATATAACATGTTGCTCCTAAGTGCTCATCAGAAGTTGCATTTCCCCCCCCCCCAAATATGCAGCTCATAAATAACACAGTACAAAAATTAATAAGGTAGGGCATAGCAAAGGATATGGAAATACAAAGGCAAATCATTGAACAGTGCAAACGCCAAGCAAGCATGAAATGGAGCCCAGCTATAAAAGGCTAGATGTGCCCGCTTCACAGTCTTCACTTGGTGTAAGTTTCAGCACTACAGAACAATACAGCTACAACCATTCTCCAGTGACCATTTGAAGTTACTGCCCATTGATTGAATTGTAGTTATGACTAATCCCAGCCGTCCCAGCACCCCTGCGGATGGTTGTGATCTGGACCCTTGGCAGTTGGTTCAAATTTATGATCAGTTGCAGCACCCCACAATCGTATCATCACCATGTACAGCCTATCCTGCTGGCTTCTCCAGAAAATCAGTGGGGAAGCCAGCAGGAAAGGCTGCAAGACCCTAAAATAAGTCTCTCCCTCCCATACATTCTACCCCACCAATTTTGGCTTGTGCCAAGCCAATCAGTCATGCAGAGGCTCACGCCATGCCTCTTGTGCACCCCCCCCCCCAGTCTTCCCTTGCATACCTTCCCCAATTCAGCCCCAGGCACCACTCAGCAACAGCCACTTACCTGCCTGTCATCCTGGGACATGCAGCTTCCTTCTGGTTTCCCCACTGTCATCTTCGTGGGAAGTCATCAGGAAGTTGCCTTGCCTAACAACCATGGGATTCAGTTAACAATGATAACCAGGACTGAAGGGATTGCCATTTCTAAGTGAGGCGGTTGTGCTTTTTGACTGCTTCATTTAGCAATGGAATTTTGTCCTAATTGACTCTAGAGTACAGAGAAGAGCAACAAAGATGATTAGGGGACTGGAGGCTAAAGCATATAAGGAATGGCTGCTGGAATTGGGTATGTCTAGTCTAATGAAGAGAAGGACGAGGGGGACATGATAGCAGTGTTCCAGTATCTCAGGGGCTGCCACAAAGGAAAGGGAGTCAAGCTATTTTCCAGGGCGCTTGAAGGCAAGACAAGAAGCAACGGGTGGAAACTAAACAAGGAGAGAAGCAACCTAGAACTAAGGAGAAACTTCCTGACAGTTAGAACAATTAACCAGTGGAACAACCTGCCTCCAGAGGTGGTGAATCCTTAAAAACACTGGAAGTTTTTAAGAAGAGACTGGACGGCCATTTGTCTGAAATGGTATAGGGTTTCCTGCTTGAGCAGAGGGTTGGACCAGATGACCTCCTAGGTCCCTTCCAACTTTATTATATTATTATTATTATTATTATTATTATTATTATTATTATTATTATTATTATTATTATTATTATTATTATTTGAGGAAAACCCATGTATGTTTAAACAGTGGCAGCTTAGTAGCAAATACAACATGTATTTTTAATCATTTGCTTTAAAAACTTGAAATATGACTTCTCTCTTTCAAAACACAGAAACCAAGCCCATTTCTTTCAGTATCTCCTCTAACTAGCTCAACTGTCAGGAGTTCAAACAAAGGGCGAGGTGCCGTAGATTAAATGTTGAAATATGACATATATTACAAACATATGCAACATGCTGTAAAGCCGCTCCCTTTGAAAGGTGAAATTGGATCTATAGCAGTGGTTCTCAACCTTTTTAATGCCGCGACCCCCAACCGGTCGTAAGTCGAGAACTACCCAACCGGTTGTAAGTCAAGGACTACCCAACCGGTCATAAGTCGAGGACTTTCCCTGCCCGGGAGTGTCGCGCATGCGTGGTGCCTCCCCCTGCGCTTGCCAAGGCGTAGCTGGCAAGGGGCAGCGACAGCGCAGGGCGATCACTGGCTGGGCCACCAGCTGGCCCAGCCCAAGGCAGGTAAGGCACCAGCCGGGCCCCACGCATGCCAGCAACCTTCCCTGCACCCGCCGCTGCCCCTCTAGCCTTACCTTGGCCACCGTCTGTTCGGGGTGGCGGCAGGCAGGCCCAGGCGCTCCTGGGCAGCCACGGCAAGCGGCAGCAATGGCGCAGGCCAACCACCGGCTGGGCCACCAGCTGGCCCAGCCCAAGGCAGGTAAGGCACCCGCCGGGCCCCACGCACGCCAGCAACCCTCCCTGCGCTCGCCGGCCTCCCACCCCTGGCCCTCTTTTACTTACTTTTAGTAGTTGCTCAGCAGGGAGGGAAGCTTTCCAGAAAGTTCACCTTGCAGCACCGTTTTCAGACTGTGGCTTTTGGCGGGCTCAGCAGGGCAGAGACAGCCTGGACAATTCCTACTGGTTTTTGAAAGCCAATAGAATTAGACTCTATTCAAGAGTATCTATTCTATTGGCTTTCGAAAGTCAATAGATTCTATTGGCTTTCAAACGCCAATAGAATAGAGTCTCTTGAATAGAGTCTATTCTATTGGCTTTCAAAAGCCAACATAATAAGAGGGAGTAGCACAACTAAAGAAAAGGGGGGAAAATGGCGGACAGCCTTGTTTGGCGACCCCCGTGAAATGTTCGTTTGACCCCAAATGGGGTCGCGACTCACAGGTTGAGAACCACTGATCTATAGGAAGATTTAACCAGCTTTCTGAATTGTGCAAATACAAGCCAGAACTGTAGGCAGCTTTTATCAAGTTTTGTTGAAGAAGTCACACTCAACAGTGCATTAAGCCATTCTGGATAGATCCACATAATATACCAAACCAAAACTGAACATATTATAATTTAGCAAGAAGGCTTCTAATGTGCGTATTGTACATAAACTGCACTGGGAAGCCTGATATTAAATCAGCGGCGTATTTTGTTTGAATTATTATCTTTTCAAACAAGTTAATTTAAAAAAGTGGCGTGTGAAAACCAATTTTCCCAAGTGTGCTTTTTTGATATAAATGAATCCGACTCACTTGAAATAAAGTACAACTTCATTTTTGATGTCTTGATAGTGAAGTGTTTGGGAGTGATTAAGGTGTGTAAAATGAAGTATGGCTTTGCCCTAAATATAAAGCAGAGTGATAATTAAACTTGTTTTACATTGCTTGGAAGCAAGAAGGGCCATCAGAAGTAATAAGCTTTTATTAGCTTGATGAGTAAACAGTACTGCCTACACTTAAAATTACACATAATAGTGTCTGCAATTGGCTTTTAACAAAGGCCTTAACATACATAGATGACATCTAAATTAACTGCTGGAGTAGAGAAAGCTAAGTTTGCTTCCTTCAGGTGGAATGAAAATGGATGGGAATGTTTTTTTAGTTTTAAACCTAAAAAAAAAAGGGAGTGTTCTCACATTTGACACATGTTACATGACCATTTGTAATGAATCCTCTTGAAATTGCAGCCTTCCTTTCACAACAAAGATGTCTTCAGATTGCCGCTAGGCGTTGCCTAGGAACTCTTATTAGGGAATCCTCCAAGTTTTTGTTTGGTTAATGCTGTCAGAATATCATAGGTTCCACAAGCCTACTGTGGTAAGAAGGAGTTTATTAAAAAATTTGGCCTGGGACCAACCATTTTGATAGGTTTTCAGAGGCTTACAAGTAGGTAAGTTAACTGCAGTAAATGCAGTATTCTTCTTAAGGTATAACCTTAACATGTTCATAACCTTAAGATGGTCATAACCTTCTGATATCCAGAATTATAGTTTCCATAAGTCTTATTCACACCGCTGATGGTTAAAAATTCTAAATGTGTGATGTTGTATATGCTGATAGCAGCGAGAATACTTTATGCACAAAAATGGTTACTTTTGATTCCCGGAACTGATCCATGGCTGCAAAAGTTGACAGACTTTAGCAGAGATAGGTTTGATGTTACAGAAATGACTAGTATATATTATTATTATAAAAGTAAAAAGTTGAGTTTTATATTAACTACCTTATTCTACTGCAGGAGTAGGCAACCTTGGCTCTTTTATGACTTGTGGACTTCAACTCCCAGAATTCCTGTCAGGAATTCTGGGAGTTGAAGTCCACAAGTCATAAAAGAGCCAAGGTTGTCTACTCCTGTTCTACTGCACCAAAAGGAGTCGAAGGTCAACACCTTTTTTTTCTTTTCCTCTCTACCCTGCACTTTTTTCTTTTCTTACCTTTCCATTATCTTTATTTTTCTTCATATGTTTAACATTTTAAATTTTGACAAACCAATAACACTTGTTACCCAGAAAGAATTCTTAAGTGTGATATCTGGAAGTTACCAGGTGGTTCTCAACCTTTTTAATGCCGCAACCCCCAACCGGTCATAAGTTGAGGACTAGTCAACTGGTCGTAAGTCAAGGATTACTCAACTGGTGCAGCACCGTTTGCAGAATGGGACTTTTGGTGGGCTCAGCAGGGCAGAGACAGCCTGGACAATTCCTATTGGCTTTTGAAAGCCAATAGAATTAGACTATTCAAGAGAGTCTATTCTATTGGCTTTCAAAAGCCAATAGAATAAAAGGGAGTAGCACAGCTAAGGAAAAGGGGAAAAAATGGCAGACTGCGTTGTTTGGCGACCCCCGTGAAATGGTCGTTCGACCCCAAATGGGGTCCCGACCCACAGGTTGAGAACCACTGCACTAGAACATGTTTCACTTTTCTTCGCCTCAAAAATACTCAAGAGAAAAATATCCACCTATCATTCATTTTGATAACAGAGTTTTTGCCTTTTCATCTCTGCAAGACACTGATACTGCTTTTTGCCTCAGTTGGCAGCGCGTGAATAACAGAATGGGAAAGAATTCTGGGGCACAAAGAATTCTGCTCACGGACCATGTCACACGGAGTGGAGTAACCTTTTTCATCTCTTCTAGGATGTGGCCTCTCACTGTGATGTGAAGTGCATGCCAACATTCCAGTTCTACAAAAATAATGAAAAGGTATTTGCTCTCAGATTTCTGGCAAAGCATGTGTTGATCTTGAATGCTTTACTTGCAGAGGGATCCAAATGCATTCTCACCTTTAAAAGATTTAGTTTGAAATCTGGTACATGGCTACATTCATTTTGCCCAAGCCTCCATGTGTACAGGTAGTCCTGGACTTAACAACAGTTCATTTAGTGAGCGTTCAAAGTTACAACAGCACTAAAAATAGTGACTTAATGACCATTTTTTCAGACTTGCGACTGTTGCAGCATCCCCATGGTCACGTGATTTACATTTGGATGCTTGACAACTGATTCGCATTTATGACGGTTGCAGTGTCCCAAAGTCATGTGATCCTCTTTTGCGACCTTCTGACAAGCAAAGTTAATGGGGAAAGCAAATTCACTTAACAACCTTGTTAGTATTTAACAACTGCAGTGATTCGCTTAACAAATGTGGCAAGAAAAGTCATAAAATGGGGCAAAACTCACTTAACAAATTTTTCACTTAGCAACATATATATTTGGGCTCCCATAAGTTGAGGGCTACCTGTACTTTGTTTCCCATGAGTTCTAGATGAGGTTTAAATATGGAGTAAGAGATGTGCTTTTGTTTATTAGTAATATAGTATCTTTAAACAGGCTTGTGAATTAGGCCACAAAATCTAGTAACCTTGGGTTTCAGGAACAAAGATCGAAATGTATGTTACCATCCTGTTCAAAAACCATTGGCCCCTCCCCCCCCCCCCGGTAGGTCCTAGGAAGGGTTACTTTTTCCAGAGCAGCTTCTGCTCTCTGAAATACCCTTTCCCTCTGGAATCTGGCAGATCACCACTCAACCTTCCAGAAAGCTATAAAGAATTGTTTTTTCCCCAAAATGTTAGGATGTGGTGAGATTGGAGTCTGGGGATTAAGAAGTTAGATAGTTTGGCAAATGATGGTTGGCAGAAGGTTTGGGGTTTTGTTATAATGAGCTGCTCAGAGTTGTGCTTCATAATATGGATGATTATAAGTCTCTTAAGTACTATATATAGAAAATTATATTCATGGTAAACTACTCAAGGAAGCAAGTTGTTAAGGAGCAGCGCTCACTTCCTTTGATCATCATTGCATGGAATCAACATTAAATAATCATCTAATGTTGACAATATCTGTTAACAGAGGGGCAACTCTTCAAGTAAAAAGGCTTAAACTTGGACTGTCTGTATTTCAGGTGCATGAATTTTCTGGAGCAAATAAAGAAAAGCTGGAAGAAGCCATTAAGAAGCATATGTAACCAAAGGTTCTTGATTCATGACTGACTGTTAAATTATAGCCTTTTCTACCTAACACATTGATCAAGTTAGAATATGTATTCAAGTACACATTGACCCTTCAGTCTGTAAATGAAGATAATAAAAAAAATATATAAAAGGTTCTTTGTCTTGCTTGAACTCACAGCGTGTCAATTCAACTTAATGAGAAGTAGCCCTGCTACTCAATTTGCCTTCAAGAGCTTGTGACTATCTCGGGGGGGGGGGGAGTGGGATGAGTGCATGCATGGCTATGTTGACACTTGTCCTACATTAGCCCTTCCCAGGGGAAGATTGGCTTTGAAAAGAAGTCCCAAAAGGGCTTTTTTCCAACTGGGCTTTCTTGTTGTTGTTTTTCACTTCTTCAGTTCTGAAGAAGACTGTAGAACTGAAGAAGGTTCTTGGATGAGAAGCAAAATGTTTTCAAAGAAAAAAAAATGAGAAAGTCCAGGTCCCTTTTGGAAAAAAGCACCTTTGGGACAACTCTGACCTGGATCAAGGGTAGGCAACCTTGGCTCTTTTATGACTTGTGGATTTCAATACCCAGAATTCCTGAACCAGCCATGCTGGCTCAGGAATTCTAGGAGTTGAAGTCCACAAGTCATAAAAGAGCTAAGGTTGCCTACCCCTGACCTGGATGGTTGAGAATCTCTGTAGACAATTTGAAAGGGAGATTACTTGGGTAAAGATACTGTCTGCCTAAGTGGGATGAACAGCAAGCAGCCATACTTTCATGTCATAAAACCAAATGCAGAAGGCCTAGCATGTATCCTATTAAATCCTACATCAAGGGTGTCAAACTGCTGGCCCGTGGGCCGGACGTGTCATCCGGAAGCCATATCCACCCCATTGCCGGCAATGGCAAAACTGTCCCGAATTAAAAATGGACACAAATGGCTTTTTAAATTACAGTGTTCTATCAAAACTATGGACAGGAAAGCTCTCCTGGGAATGGAGAAGTCTCTAGTGATTTATCCACTATATAGAAATAGCAGAAGCTCTGCAACTAAGAGAATCCTACAGATGTTTTTTCTTCATATCTCAAGAGTTTTAAATGAAACTGAAGAGGCAGTGGACTTCTGGAAAGATTGGTGGGAAATAAAAACCAGTGCACTCCTACAAACACTGTTGGCCTTTCATAATTAAAGAAGGGCAGAAACATTCCATCTCTGACTTTTGCTCTTCTAACTTAATAAGACCTGGGGGGGGGGGAATTGTCTGCCCAGCTCTAGTTTTAATAATTTGTGAATAATTTGGAATTTTTAAAAATAACATAAGCAATTGATATTTAGGGGGGAAAATCAGAACATCCAGATTAAAAATAAGGACCACCAGTGGCAGTTGCATCCCTTTTTCATCTACACAGGTAATCAACCTACAACCAAATTGGGACCGCAGCTTGTTACTAAGCAAAGCAGTCACCTGATTTTATGACCTTGTTGCTGCAGCCATTAAAAGAATCATCATGGTCGATAAATGGATCACATAGTCATTGAGCAAATTTCTGTTGACTTTGTTTGTGGGAATCTGGCTGAAAAGGTTACAAGTGTGAACATGGGATCCCAGGACTCTGCAACCACTGTAAATATGTGCTGGTTGCCAAATGCCCAAGTTTTGATCACGTGACTGCAGGGGTGCTGCTACCATCATACATACGAGGACTAGTTAGAAGTCACTTTTTTTCCCCCCAGTGCTGTCATGACTTTAAAAGAATGCTAAATAGATGGCTGTAAATCGAGGATTACATGCATTCTTAGCAAAATGTACTTTTCAAAATAGCAAGAATAACGAATGGGAACAATGGGGGGGTTTTTTTTGAGCAATTTCATTTTGAGCAAGCAGAGTAGTGAGTTAGTCTGCGAGAAAGGTGTTTAAGAAAAAGGGTGCATGGGATTGGATCAGATGCCTCTCAAAGGGAGCTTGTGCGCTTGTGGGTAAGCGTATTGTTTGAATCCATCTTTCGACATTTGATTTGTAACATCTCCCCATCTTCCTTTATATGGATGATGCTATTATTCTATTGAGTGCTGGCCTTACTCTCTTGGTCCAATATAGTCCTAAGGAGATCTGATGGCTATCCAAAAACTTAAGGTAAAGGTTATTAAGAAAGCCTAAAAACTTTAGTCAGACCAGTGATGGAACCATTTTTTAAAAAATATTGGGGGGGAACCCAATGGCAAAAGATGCTACATTATGTCACCAGTGTAGCCCAAAGAAGTACTGCAGCAATCCTATCATATCATTCCACACAAAGTAATAGGTGCCATCAGACAAAAGTTTTATTACAACTATTATTTTACATGATATTTGACCCATGTTCTGACTTTATACTCTTCTGGACTATTCAATCCAAATTCCTTAGCTCTAGATTCAGTATTCCCAAATGCAGCTTTTAGGCTAGAACCAGAGTGGAAAGAAGTTTGCCTTTTAATCTTTCATTATTGGCTTAAAGTTATCTGTCAGCCACTCAGTTACTCTGTTCAGTGATACTTTCCCATCCCCTTGGAAAAAGTCATTTAAGCAAAAGCTGCTTGTGGCATTTTTCAAACACTTCCTACAAACTTGTTCGGTTTCCAGATAAAATCTGATTGCCCAGTCACTTGAAACTGAGTGACAGTATAATTTGAAATGACTGCTCAGTTTTTGTAGTTATCAAAAACAATCGGAAGAAGCATGGCTGCCTATATTTACTCCCTGATGGAGTGTTGGGCATTTACTCATTGTAACCCTCTTCCTTCACTGTTTCAGAGTAGGTATGGCAATCTCCTCATGGTTCATTGTCTCTGCCCTTGTGGCACTCAAGATTTGGAATCGCTAACACATACCGGTAGTCCTTGTGTTACATCCCTTTGTTCAGCAACCATCCAACAAAAAGGTGGCACCAGTGGTAGGGTTCAAATATGTGAACAACCGGTTCTCTGTGTGGATGCCGCTTCCGAATGTCCATTCTGGGCCTGGGCAACAAAAATTTAGCTACCGGTTCTGCCAAACTGGTGCGAACCAGCTGAATCCCCCCACTGATGGCATTGAAGAAAGGGACGCTCGACCAGTTCTCACACTTACAACCATTGCAGTGGCCCCTATGCTTCAACTCTGCCATCCACTCCCCTCCACCACCACCCCATCTCTGTCTTTTTGGCTACCCTTCACAGCATGGTGGAGATGAAGAAGCTGCTAATATTAATGTTTTGTTTAGTGAAAAATTCCAGTCCCAATTAGGTTCGTAACCACTTGTATTGCACGTTTTATATAACCTAGTGCCAAAATCTTATCCTTCCCCTTCTAGCAGAAATTCCCAGTTCCTTTGTTGATTTTCTGCTTGCCCATAAGGCTTTTTCTACAACCCACAAAGTTGCAAAGTTTTGTTGTCTAGCAGCAAGGCTTCAGCTGGGCAGCCACAATAAGATTGAAGATGGACTGTAAATGTTTATTTGTGTTTTATCAATTTTTATTCTCTTGTTTCTGTTGTTTGTTGGTTAAAGCTATACTGTAACAAATAAAACTGATTTTATTTATATCATTTATTTATTTCGCAACCAACATAAGCTCACCCAACCATCTATAATATGTCTGAATACAATCTCTGGATGTAGAAACTATTTATGGATAAGAAAGGATTCTGTGTGCTTCATCTTTTCAGGGTGCTGCTTTTATTCAAACTGGATAACATATTGATAGCAGGATGTAACAAATCCAAGTGGCATTTGTTTCTTTTGTCCATAGACTTCACATGATCATCTTGATTTTCTGTTTTGGCCACACTTGAGGCATGCTGCAGTGGCATAGTAGATTCGCATAATCTTAGAGAATTAGATCATTGTTGGCAAGAAGACAAGTCAAGACTATAAGGAAGTGCGGGTACAGTGATTTATGGAGTTTTCAAAGGCAGAACCTAGTGCCTTTTATACCTCTACTATTGCCTTTCCAAAGTTGTCTCCTTTGAGCATTCCCATAAACACAGCGGGCATGTTTTCGAAACCCTTCGTGATGTCCTCACGGTATTTAATTTTCCCCTATGTGAAAAGTGAAACATTAAAATGTAAGCAGTTGTCCCTGGGACTTAACAGCTAAGAATACACTTCTGCTCAAAATAGCAAGGGACAAGACAAAGGGAAAGTATTACATGTGTGTTTTAGAGACATATCCACGCCTGCATACTACCCTGGAGTACACAAAGATCTATTCCTGAATGTACTCGAGAATAAAAATACTAAGCAGTACTCGCAGTAACTCAGAATCAAGCTCCCGGCGTGTTTTTCTCTGCAGATCAAAGTTATTCAGCCCAACCAATATCAAAGGGTTGAACTTGCTATAAAATGAGGAGAGAGAATTCCGTGGCATACTACCTTGGGCTCAAGACCTTCTCCCCTTTGTATTGCACATAGACGGGAGGGGGGGGAGAGAGAAAGCACACCTTTCCTACTCTCAGCTTACCTCTTTAACCCATTTCAGTAGTGCCTTCCGCCCTTCATCTTTTCTATCATTCCAACGTGTGACTAAAAAACCTTCCATGTACAGCTGTTTCAAGATCATGGGGACCTGGACAAATGGCCCTAGGAAAGAGTTCAGAGAAGAAAAAGTTAGGAAAGTTTGTCCTGTCACACCATATCTTCATTCCTGTCCCTGTTACCCGAAGTTGCATATGTTATGTTTCCTAGTTTCCTGCAATATTCTGTCCATTTGGAAAAAAAAAAAGCGAGCAGTATTTTCTCAATTACGGTCAACATAACATAGTTTTTTGTAAAAAAAAAATTGCCAGGGAAATTGTATTGAGCCTTCACAACTGAATCATAAACATAAGTGTATCTCTTTCCAAATACAATCAAGTGTGTAAATAAAACATCAGCAAGGTTACCCATCAAAGCCGACCCTCCTGCTTTTGGTCGGTTTCTGAACAAAACCTAGGCCACGGGTAAGCAATCCTGGCTCTTTTATGACTTGTGGACTTCAATTCCCAGAATTCCTGAGCCAGCATGGCTGGCTCAGGAATTCTGGGAGTTGAAGTCCACGAGTCATAAAAGAACCAAGGTTGCCTATCCCTGACCTAGGCTCATTTTCTTGTTCAAATATAGCCAATTTTGATTTTCACCTTAAAGCGAGATCAAGCAAACA